GGGGGGGGGAGGGAGATGAGGTTAATGTCCCTGAACACCCTGCAGGTGCTTTTATACAACTAAGATAATGGTGCCCGCTTACCTCAAAGGGTTCTACTGAGAATTAAAGGGAGTATTTGAGACGTTAACGAGTGGTGGTGTCGCAGGACACTTGTGATTGCTCTATTGTTGTTATGAGGAGACAAGTTTCCTGAGGCTGTTCCAGCCCCGCCCTGGGTCTCGAAGCCAGCCCCGCCCAGGGGCCACTCGAGCGGGCAGTGCCAGGTGAGTGCTCAGGTATGCGGAGGCGGGGCGGCCCCGGAGGGAGCCGGAGGGAGGGGCCCTGGGTCTGGACAGGAGAGCAGAGCGGGCCTCTCCTCTGACGGGGCCTGACGCTGGACGGGGCAGGTGAGGAGGGGGCCCAGGAGGGGCTGGGGGACCTGATGTCTTGAGTCTTAAGGAGGCAAGGGCTGAAAGCCGGGTCCCCATAGCTAGAAGGAAAATATGGGGTCACAGGGACTAGGAAGTGGCTGAGAGTTTCTCTGAGGAGACCTGGGGTCAAACCCTCTGGTTCTCAGGGATGAGAGCCTCGGAGCCAGAGCCAGGACAGGGCCCTGAGAGGGTCAGGCTGGGACTCTGGGTAGAGGAGGCAAGTGGGGTACACGGAGATTAGGGAATTGAATGCATGGATTTCTGAAGGATTTGAGGGACCACGTACTAGGTATGAAAGAGGAGGGGCTGGGGCCTGGGCTCCTGGGTTTAGGGAGAAGGGGCTGGGGCCTGGGCTCCGGGTTTAAGGAGGAGGGGCTGGGGGCCTGGACTCCTGGGTTTGAGGAGGAGGGGCTGGGGGCCTGGGCTCCTGGGTTTAAGGAGGAGGGGCTGGGGCCTGGGCTCCGGGTTTAAGGAGGAGGGGCTGGGGGCCTGGACTCCTGGGTTTGAGGAGGAGGGGCTGGGGGCCTGGGCTCCTGGGTTTAAGGAGGAGGGGCTGGGGCCTGGACTCCTGGGTTTGAGGAGGAGGGGCTGGGGGCCTGGGCTCCTGGGTTTAAGGAGGAGGGGCTGGGGGCCTGGATCCCTGGGTCTGAGGAAGGAGGGGCTGGGACCTGGACTCCTGGGTTTAGGGAGGAGGGGCTGGGCCAGGAATCATAGGTCCCGAAGTACAGGGCAGGCCCTCACCTCTTTGCTGGCTCCCAGGGCACCTCCTGGTGGCAAGAGCTGCCCACTCTCGGCATCATGAGCACCACCACCAGGTAAGTGCCCCCTGCCCACCTGGCCCCCAACCCCGGCACACACACACACACACACACACACACACACACGCACACACACACACCGGCAGGACATTCACGGGAGCCTAGGTCTGGACACTCAGAAGGAAGCCTGGGCTTGGGCTGCCTCCCTCCCAGCCCAGCAGGTAGTTTAGCTCCACTCCAAGCAGACAGACCTGGGTTCTAATCCAGACGCTAACACTCAGCAGTGGTGTGGCCCTGGCCAAGGAGCGTAGCCTCTTTGAGCCTCAGTCCCTTGTCTGCAAAACAGGGACAGCTTTTTTTATCCTCATGCAGCAACATTTTTATGGGTTTTAGCCCTCTGTGAAGAGTCGGGGTGTCTGTAGTGAAGGCTCAGCCTTGGCATGAACACGGAGGACAAAGGCAGCCACGTGGGAATAGCCGCCTGTGAGGTAGTGAGTTCCCCAGCCAAGGGGTAATCAAATTGTAGGTGGATCTGACTGACAGGAGCAGGATGAGGAGCACAGGTTTGACTGAAAGCGTTTCTCATCCCTCATCCCTCACCCCACCTGGGCTCCGAGCCTCTGGAGTTCCTGTGGAAATGGGGACTCGGGGATTCTTCTTGGAAAGGTGACCTTGAAGAAGAGGTTGAAGGCAGGAGACAGAGAAGGACTTGGCTGGGTAGAGCCTGGCCCATAGGGGTGGGAGGGGAAGAAGGTAACTCTCCATCTGCTCCAAACACTAATTCTATTGTAAAAATTCCCATTTATTAAGCACCTACAGTGTGCTAAGCCCTGAGCATTATAATAATGACAATAACAGTTACTGAGGCTGCAGGTACTTCAACTCCCTCATCTCACTGAATTCACGCAGCAGCTCTACCAGATGGAAGCTATAGGGAAGCTAACTGCTATCTTACAGAGAGGGAAACTGAGGCAGGAGAGATGAAGTCTCCTACCCTGGGTCATAAGGCAAGACAGTAGCTGACGGGATTTGAACCCAGGTCTGTGTGACAGTAGAGACCACACTCCCCAGCACTGCCCAGTACCGTCACCTCACCTGTCTTACTAAAGTCCAGCTCTGCCCTCTCCTGCTCTGCTCAGATCCTTCCATGGCTCCCCAGTGCCCTCTCAATGAAGTCGCTGCTCTTCTTGGCTTTTGAAATGCCCATGATCTGTCCCCAGTTCCCACTGTCCCTCTCACCCCTCTTTTCTTTCACCAGCCCGGAAGCTGCCCCCAAACCGAGTGCCAAGTCCATTTATGGTGAGTTTATGGGCCAGGAAACCCCAGAGGGAGGAAGGAACTGAGGACCTGGACTCCTGGATCTGAGGGAGGAGGGGCTGGAGCAGGATCCCCTGCATCTGAGGGAGGAGGGGCTGGGGCCTGGACTCCTGGGTCTGAGGGAGGAGAGGCTGGGGCCTGGACTCCTGGGTCTGAGGGAGGAGGGAACCAAGGACCCAGGCCTCCGGATCCACCTTCCTCCTCCCCCACAGAGCAGAGGAAGCGCTACTCCACTGTGGTGATGGCCGACGTCTCCCAGTATCCAGTCAACGTAAGTCTGGGGTCTGCGTTGCCACAGGGAGTCTTCTGGGACAAAGGGAGACTGGCAGAAAGAACCTGGGCAACTCAGTTTGCTCCTCTACAAACTGGGCTTCCTCGGCCTTGCCTCAGACACGGGTGTCAGGGAGGGAGCTCAGTGCCACTTGAACCTGCCAACTTTTCCTCTGGACCAGCCCTTGAGCTGACCGGTCTGGCCACAGCCCCAAATCAGATGCAATCCTGCATGAGTAGGGGCTGGACAAGGTGCAGAGGTCCAACAGAGGGGGCCAGCTGCTCTGATGCAGGTAGAGGTGCTTTGGAGGGACCAGATATAATCCAGACCATCCCCTGCCTCCGGGGAGCCTACCGTCTGGGCGGGAAGACAGACCCCGGGGCTAGTCACTCTGGTGAAAGAGAAACAAAGGGCGCTGCGTGGAGGCGCCCGTACCTGGAGCGAGCGATCAGGGAAGGCTTCCTGGAGGAGGTGTGGTTAGTCACAAGCCAGAAGGCTGATTCCGGGGACATCCTGGGACTCACCGCTTTCTCCGTGGCCCGTGCCAGCACCTGGTGACGTTCTGCCTGGGCGAGGAGGACGGCGTGCACACCGTGGAGGACGCCTCTCGGAAGCTGGCCGTCATGGACAGCCAGGGCCGCGTCTGGGCCCAGGAGATGCTGCTGCGCGTGTCTCCCGACCACGTCACGCTGCTCGACCACGTCTCCAAGGTACCAGGGGCCACGTGGGTGGAAGACGCGGCGGGACTGAGCAGCGGGGCACGGAGAGCTCGGCCCCAGCGACGTGGGGGGTCTTAGCCTAAATGTTGGCTTCCCTGCGTCCCGTCTCGGGGAACTTTGGAGGGGCCCGCCCCCTCTCTGAGCCTTATTAGCCTCAGCTGTCATCGCGGGGCCGCCCTGCGCAGCGCCCGCACCTGCTGGCACTGCAGTCCCCATACAGCAGTGTCATCGGTCCCGAGCCTCAGTTTACCCGCCGTCCCGCCGCAGGAGGAGCTGGAGTCCTACCCGCTGGGCGCCATAGTGCGCTGCGACGCGGTGGTGCCGCCCGGCCGGGGCCGCTCGCTGCTGCTGCTCGTGTGCCAGGAGCCCGAGCGCGCGCAGCCCGACGTGCACTTCTTCCAGGGCCTGCGTCTCGGGGTGAGCTGGGGGGTCGCGGGCACCGGGACGGAGGGGCTGGGACCCCGCGCATCCCCCGCGGAGCGGGAAAGGGCGGGGCCTGGGGCAAAGGCGGGGTCAGGGTCGGCGAAGGGGACGCGGCCTGGAAAGGGCGGGTTGGACTCGGACGGAATGTGGGAGAGGGGGCAGAACTGGGG